CCTGCTTATGCAGGGGGTCGGACTCGATGATCTATTGAGGTCCCTTCCGACCCTAACATCTATGAATCTATGAATCAATGAGGTGGAAGAATGGGCTCAGCAGAAGACCACACAGAGCCCAATGAACAAGGAGTCCCCCTTCTGAAAGGGAAAATATTGGTTCTCTACCTGGCAAAGTCCAGATAGGAAGGTAAGGCAGTTCTCTCAGCATCAGCAGCATCACGTTACTTTGAAATGAAAAAAAGGCTGGGAGAACAAGTAGGATTTTTATCCATGACAGTTACCCAGACCCAAAACGTGGCCAGTAGATAGTATAATAATGTAACTGCTAAACATCAATGGAAAGCAAATATGTAGTCTGTTTTATGTATTTCCATTTCCCAACCACTCTCCTGAGAAAGAACACAGAAAATTTTATTTCCATTCCAATGAACCCTAATTAGCACATTCCTTGGGAAACGAAGCAGAGGCAAAAAGCCTTCTCTTTATTATGATACGCAGCAAAAAAATGGCCTGTTGGATGTACACTGAGGCCTCGTTATTCTATCTTGATGCCTTCGAGGGCTCTTGGTATATGAGAATCGCTTGGGCCAGCAACAACACAGGTCTTGGAGAAAGGAAGACTGCAATAATTAAATGAGTCCCCCTGACAAGTGATCTGATTGATTCACAGGCCCCAATTTTGTTTATTCGGGCTTCTATCTCGCACCAAAAGTTGTACTATGAAAAACCTCACCAATATTAAAACAGGAAAACTTTTATACGAATGTCATACAATAATACACATTCAAGTACTTATGCAAATACACATACATATAATTAAATCCACTGCTGTTGTATTTAAATATTTATGCCTACCCACCACTATAATCACAATATAGCGACTGTAATAGCTATCACATGTAACCACTACCTTCTGGCAAACTGTATTTCTACTCATAATTTTCATATCTCCCCCCATCCACACTCTCAAAGATACCCCAACGCCAGCCAATCTTAGCAGTGATGGATCAGAAGGGAAGCAGCTCCAGAAGTACGCTTCCCTTCTGAAGAGTGGTCTGCCCTCAGCCCTTTATGTCACCTTCTGCAGTAAAGTCAGGGGGTATATATCTGAATTGGTACTGATTGCAAAAGTCAATGGTATCGCACAGAGAGAAACGTTTTATCCACTGTGAGACTACCTAAGTCATGAGAGGGGATTATCGTGGAAATCATCTGCATTAGGGAGCCGTAACGCTCCAGCTTTCTCCAGTCTGTTTTGTCTTACTAAAGTGGGCAGCATGATGAACCTGCTGCCTGAGATATACTGACTTGACTTTGAAGGGTCATCATCTTGATGGAACATCTTAGTTCAGCATCCAACACACACAATATTTTTTAGGGAGCTTTCATCTGTTCTGTTGTGACCACACTGCCAAAAACACAATAAACAGACACAAAGCTTTTATATCACTTAACGTCACCTGAGGCTTAAACATTAATCAGGGGTATGAAACAGTCCTTGATGTGAAAGCCCCGTGGCGGGGTGAATTTGCAGATGCTACAGATCACTGAGAAACCCTCTGGTACCTTACTCAAGCGAGCAACATTTACAAAAAGAAACCCTCCTTTGCTTAAAGGAGCAAAGTTTACAAAGACAACACCTCTCTCTTTTCAATATTTGGCACGTCATACCGCATATACAGAAGTGGGGGGAAAAGCAAAGCTTCCTTTATACGGTACCTCCCCCACCCTCATGTCCCGAGTGTCCATCCTGATTTAAACAGGCCATTTCCCTTTATTCAAATCAAGCACTGATATCCACTCTGCTGCCCCTGTCTCTCTTGCCGATAGACAGACTTGGCTAGAATTTCCTATCAAAAGCAGGGCAATCTTCTTTCTTTTGGTGTGGATACTTAACCTTTATCTTTAAATAAAATAATCAGACACTGGCCATACATCTAAATATCCAGCATTTAAGTCTGTTCACTGTAGGCTAATAACTTGCCTGTAGGCTATGACCACCATTCCCATTTAGCTCAAAGATCAGAGGAACAGGATCAGGGGAGTTTCAGCATGACAAAACAGGAACCGGTTTAAAAAACCCTGTTGGGGAGACAGGCTGTGCCCAACCTCGTGGTCTTGTAAAGCCTCAGAAAACAAAACCACAGGTAAAATGGAATATGCCTGGCAGTTTGTACTGGACAGGGATTCTCTTTTAATAGGACTACTTTCACTTCCACATTAGAAAACTTGTTCTATTTTCCATGTAGCCTCACTCTGTCATTTGGCTCAGTGATGACTGCCAAGTTACATCGGCTGTTTCGCAGACAATTGTAGCTTTAGCTCATTATCCAGCAGGTCGACTGCTAGACTTTCGCTTAGATTGCAACTGCTCATCTTGAGAAGGGCGAGTTGGGGGGTTTCAGGTGAAATGCTTCACACCAGCACTTTTTCGGTTGTATGTAGTCCCCTCTGTGGAGGGGATTCCAGCAGGTAAGAGGCCAGTCTTCCCTTGGGTATTAACACCGTTACCGTTTGCCACAATTGTCTTCAGTACAGAAGATGACTCAATGCACATCTCTATTTCCTAAAGTCCACCCCTCTCCCTGTGAAAATGGAAGTTACCAGGTGATTTTTCTCCTCTCCGAATCACTGGACCCCATCGGACAGGCTTCACTTCAATTTCGCTCCCACAATCCATATAGCCTATTCCCAGTGCTCAACTCTCCGGGATTGCTTGAGGCTCTTACATGTTTCAGGAAGTGGAGGGCCAAGTCTACTTGGTAATCAAATTCTCATTGAACTAATCTTACGTGGCTTGTGACAGCCAGTTTCAGAGGAATAAAATGATTGAAGACCATTCCTGTATCATCAGCAAAAAAAAAAGTGATCAAACCAACACCCAACAGAAAAAGTAGCTAAGACAAGAACAGGAAGGAACGGTGATTTCTTCTGAATTATCTGGTTAAAAATACGTAAGTAATAGGGTCATCAAAGTAAGGCTGAACTGATATCAAAGGAACTGAAAACTAAATGCTACATTTAGAGAGGATTGTGGCTTCTTCTGGACGCTGTGTTTATTCATTGAAACCAAGGGAAAAATACAATTAAATAAACCTCCCTAAATGTTATTTTCCCTAAGGTTCCAAATGACATTATTTTGTCTCTGTGGCATCACACCAGAAATTCAAAACAGCAGAGGAATAATAAAAAATTGAAAAAGAACAACTGAAAACTAATTCTTAACTTCAGATGCTGGATAGCAATGCCAGAAAACTAGAAAGGAACAGTCACTCTTGTAATCTTTACATCATTTTATAAAACTTTACTTTTTCTTAATAATGCTGCACAGGAGATCAGACATCCTTGAAAGTAAAGTTTCTCTTCAGTCCAAGTGAAGTCATTTATTAAGACTTGGCTTTTACCTGAGAGCACAACTACAGGATACGAGTAGAGCAGCCTTTTGTACGCAATATTTGCTAATATTTTGTTATTTAATGCACACAAGTAATGGGGGACATTTAAAAATCTACATATATTTATTTTCTGAATCTAAATCTATTCAAATACTTCAATTATTGAAAATACTTAGTTTATTTCTTCTTGTGTCCTTTTTCTCCTCCTGTACAAACGCTCTAGTGAAACGATCTCCCCCTAACTGTGGCTTCTGATGGAACCAACAGCACTAGTGCACGCACTAATTGCTGGATTTAGTGGATTGCTGATCCTTGCTGTGTGGGAAGGCAAAGAGTTATTTTAAACCTGACCATGTGATCATGGATTAGAAAGTAAATACCAGCCCTCCTCGTACTGTGCTACTCCTCCAGGAGTGTTCTTGCTTTCATGCCCCGCAGGCTCTGTTCATGTGAAAGATGCTAGCAACCCTTCTTGGCATGCCATACAATGGCTTCCTCTTTCAGTCCATGCTGCCTCTTCACTCGCACTAGCCCAAGGACCTTTTCTTTGTGCTGGCACAACCCATTCACATGTGCTTGCACAGAGATCTACTCTTGCCCTTCCCTGCCTTTCACACAAACTATTGCAGGATGGTCACTTCCTTCTGACACTGCTCTCTCTTCAGGTGGGTACATTAAGTGCAGTGACCTTTTCATGTCTGTGAGCTGCTCAAAAAACCCCACGTGCTCCCCCTTTCTCTCTTCCACTCGTTAAATTAGCTGTGTGATGTATGTAGCACAACCGCTGATGTTCTCCAAGATACTGGAAGAATGTTAATAAATTTATTATGTATTTTTGTTATGTTAAATGTATTATGTGAATGTTAATCAGAGTCTGCATACATTCCAGAAAGGCGCTGCATGAAATAAACAAGTTGGTGTTGGCTTTGGCGGTGCAATGGGGAACTTCCGGGATTTAATATTCAGTGTGCATAATTCTAAAAAAAGGCAGTGCGTGTTGTTAAAATTTCACTGCACAAATGTGCATTTCTGTGCGTTTCTAGTCCCTGATGTTAACAAACATTAGCAAGTCTGGAGTGGGAGTCCTTGATTTATTAGACATCTGGTTAGTACATCATGTTCCAAGGGGCCAATATGAGGCTACAGGCTTCTCTTTCAACCTCAAAATGGCAGGTTTGAGCCTAATACTTGACCTCTGCTTATCTGGAAGCAAATCAGCACCATCCCAACTGTCTTTTGGCCTTCAAATACTTCCTTATCCCAAAGCAAGTTTACACTCCCCTTCAAATTCTGAGCCCTGCTGCACTGAGATCTCACGAGCGGACATTTTTGCCAGATCCTCCAAATAATCTGATCTCTCAGGTAGCCAAAGGCATGGAGCTATCACCAGTGTATAATAAATTATACCCCTCTACCCCATCCTCTTGCACCCTGGGGATGAAGTTCTAGATCTGCCCCCAATGCTATCATATATGTGCATGAATCTAGGGCCTCTTTGCTTTGTGGGCTGCAGGGGGGATCCACTGGCAGCTCTCCCTCCCTTCAGGCCATGGAAACCACTTCAGAAGGGCTCCAGCTTGTCTTCGGCAGACCACCACACCATTGTGTTTTATGTATACAGAGCAGTGAAGCATGTTAGCATGAAGCTAACAACAACAGTTAAGAAGCCAGGATGGATGATAGCATATCCCAGGGACCTGGGAGAGCTTCAATTCTGGTTAATCACGTGTTAAAGCCTGTGCTGATGCATCTTCTATACTGTTGTTACGCATGCTAGCTAGATTAAGCCAGCACAGGCCTGCTAGCACGTGCCACTAGCACCATGTCATCTTGCTATGCAGCTGTAATCAGTGGGTTCTTCAAGAGAAGTAAGGCTCAGTGCAGAATTAGAAGTGAGCCAGTTGCCCTAAAGCATGTGATGCAAACTCACATGCCTCTTAGCACAAGCATACTGCTAGAGAGACTGTGAGTAGCACTCAGGCCACAAGGAGACTGTTTATACAGGGTTAGGGTAGCATCAAACACCTGAAAATACACTTTCAAGGAGGCTGTGAATTGAAAATGCAAATCTCCAGATGCCTGTGACAAAACTAACTGATTACATCAAATATTTCATGGCGAAGAGCATATGCCTGAGGAAACAGACAGATAAACCACATAAGCCACTTAGCATTTTGAGCATGTTATTTTGTCCCAGACACAGCGTGGCTTGAACCAAGGGTGGTGTCAATGGGCACTACCAATTTCATAGATTCATAGACAGCAGGGCTGGAAGGG